AAATCAACAACCTATTATAAGCCATGTCTCTCTTTGTACTTTTTTCTTTCTCTCCCCAACTCTTTTCATTGTTAGGCTAGACACCAGTTCACTTAGGTATTCCTGTAGCAAGCTTCCAATCTCCTGAAAAACTTAATTTGAGGGTTTTTTTTAAATTAATTTTTGTGGCTGGTCTAAAGACTCATTCATACCAAATTTTCAGTTTCACGTAAATGAATAATTTGCTTATAGAACATAAAAGATTTTCTCTTCTTTCTTTAATTTTTTTTTTTTTACTTTTATTTATTCATTTGGCTGAGCCACTCGGCATGTGGGATCTTAGTTCCCTGGCCAGGAACTCATGCCCCCTGCAGTGGAAGTGTGGAATCCTAACCACTGGACTGCCAGGAAAGTCCCTTCTCTCTTTTTTAAAGGCCTTTTTCCAGGTTTATTGAGATATGTAGTTGACACATAATATAGAATACTGTGTACGTTTAAGATGTATAGAGTGATAGTTTGGTACGTATATTGGTGCATATTTTGCAAAATGATTACCACAGTAAGTTTAGTTAACAAATCCTTCACATAAATATCAGTTTGTTGTTGTGGTGGTAAGACTAAGATTTACTCTTAGCAACTTTCAAGTATATAATACAGTAGTATTAAATATCATTATTGTTCTGTACATTAGATGCCCAGAGCTTATTCATCTTAAAACTGGAAGTTTGTACCCTTTGACCAACATCTCCCTGTTTCTCTCACCTCCCATCCTCTGACAACCACCAATCTAGTTCTCTAAGAGTTAAGCTTTTTTTAGATTCCACATGTAAGTGATTTCAGACAGTATTTGTCTTTCTCTGTCAGACTTGTATACAGTATACATACACATGTATAGATGTGTGTGTGTGTGTGTGTGTGTGTGTATTATTCACATTTCCTTTATCCATCCATCTGCTGGTGGCACTTAGGTAGTTTGCATATCTTAGTTATGAATACTCCTGCAGTGACATGGGAGTACAGATCTATCTGAGATAGTAGTTTATTTCAATTCCTTTGGCTAAATAGCTAGAAATGGGATTTCTGAATCATATGGTAGTTCTGTTTTTATTTTTTGAGGAACATTCATGTTGTTTTTCATAGAGGCTGTACCAATTTACATTCCCACAAATAGTGCCCAGCATTTGTTATCTCTTGTCCTTTTGGTAATAGTCATTCTAACAAGTGAGAGATGAAATCACATGGCTTTAATTTGCATTTCCTTGATGGTTAGTAGTATTGACCATCTTTTCATGTACTTCTTAGCCATTTGTATGTCTTTTTCAGAAAAATGCCTATTCAGATTCTCTGCCCTCTTTTTAATTGGATTATTTGGGAGAGTTTTGATATTGTACAAATCCTTATATATTTTGGATATTAACTCCTTAACAGATATATGGTTTACAGATATTTTCTCTTATTCCATAGTTTCCATTTTCATTTTGTTGTTTCACTTGCTGAGCAGAAGCTTTTTTGTTTGATGTGGTCATTTCTTGAGTTTTGTTGCTTGTGCTTTTGGTGTCATATCCAAAAAATCTTTGCCAAGAGCTATGTCAAAAAGCTTTTTCCCAATGTTTCCTTCTAGAAGTTTCATGGTTTCAGATCTCATGTTTAAGTTCTTAATCCATTTTGAGTTAACTTTTGTGGATGGTTTTTGATAGGGGTCTGGTGTCATTCTTTTGTGTGTGAACATCCAGTTTACCCAGCATCATTTACTGAAGAGACTATTTTTCTCCCCTTGAGAATTCTTTGCTCCCTTGTCAAATACTAGTGGACAGGGTTTATTTCTGGGCTCTTCATTCTGTTCCATTGGTCCACATGTCTGTCTTTATGCCAGTATCATATTTGTTTGATGACTGCACATTTGAAATCGGGAAGTTTGATGCCTCCAGCTTTCTCCAAGACTGCTTTGCCTATTCAAGATCTTTTGTGATTCCATATGAGTTTTAGTATTGATTTTTCTATTTTCTATTTTTGTGAAAAGTAGAATTTTGATAAGAGACTATATTGGATCTAGGGATGACTTTGGATAGTATGGACATGTTTTTTCTTTTTTCTTATTTATTTATTTATTCTGCTGGTTGGATCTTTGTTGGGGTGCTTAGGCTAAATAGTTGTAGCACACAGGCTTAGTTCCCCTGTAACACGTGGGCTCTAAGTTCCCCAGCCAGGGGTCAAACCCACAGCCCTCACATTGCAAGGCAAATTCTTAACCACTGGACTACCAGGGAAGTTCCAGTATGGACATTTTAACAATATTAATTTTTCCAATCTATGAACGTGGATATCTTTCCATATATTTGTGTCATCTTCAGTTTATCAATGTCTTACAGTTTTTAGCATAAATATCTTTCACTTCCTTGATTACCTTTGATTAAATAAATTAATTACATCAATGATGCTATTGTAGATGGGACTTTTTTTTTTTTAATAGGGCTTCCCTGATAGCTCAGCTGGTAAAGAATCCGCCTGCAATGCAGGAGACCCCAGTTTGATTCCTGGATCGGGAAGATCTCTGCAGAAGGGATAGACTATCCACTCCAGTATTCCTGGGCTTCCCTTGTGGCTCAGCTGGTGAAGAATCCGCGTGTAATGCGGGAGACCTGGGTTTGACCCCTGGGTTCAGAAGATCCCTTGCAGAAGGGAATGGCTACCCACTCCAGTATTCTGGCATGGAGAATTCCATGGTCTGTATAGTCCATGTGGTCACAAAGAGTTGGATACAACTGAGCAATTTTCACTTAATAGACGTGCAACTGATTTTTGTAGGTTGATTTCTGTCTTGAAACTTTACTGAATTAATTTGTTAGTTGTAAAAGGTTTTTGTTTTGGTTACAATTTCAAATTAAAAATAACAAGAAATAAAATGACTATAGAAGGTGAATTTGGGGGTGCATATGTTAGCAATAAGAAGGATAAACGTTTTTGTCTATATTTATTTCAGCCCTGCTTCTCACAGTTAACTCTATAGAAAAATAGTAGAGTATCATATGTAGAACCAGCATACTGTAAACAGCGTATATATAACCAGGAAATATTGTAACAACTATATATCATACTTCTTATGAGTAAATGGGAATATCTCCTCCTGGAAAAGTTATTTCTTTTGTTTTGCTTTTATGAGGTTAGTAGACAAGAATGATTACTTCTTATGGATCTTTCAATATTTTTTGTCATATCCAAGTAACAGCACTTCATGTTTGCGCCCTTTCCCTCTGTAAATATATACTAGGAAGGCAGTTCAAAGTAGTAAGTGGATAATCATATGTATTTATAGAATATGTCTATTTCATTCAGTTTTATTTTCTTTGGAGTTCAGCTATGTGAGAAGCTCACAATAGTTTATATGAATGGATATTTAGGAATTTTTTTTCTCCAAAGGAAAAGATAGTAATGCTACCTCTCTTTTCCCTCTCCCTCTATAGAAACATTCTAAATACCAAGCATTTTTTTTTTAAAGGGAATGTTCTTGGACTTCCCTGGTGGTACAGTGTATAAGGATCTGCCTATCAGTGCAAGGGACACAGGTTGGATCCCTGGTCTGGTAAGATTCCACAAACCACAGAGCAACTAAACCCATGTACCACAACTACTGAACCTGCATTCTAGAGCCCATGCTTCACGACTGTTGAGCCTGTGCTTTAGAACCTGGGAACCGCAGCTGCTGAGCCAGGCGCTGCAGTTACTGAAGTCTGCGTCTCGCCCTGTGCTCCGCGGCAAGAGCAGTCCTGCAGTGAGAAGCCACGTGTCACACCAGAGACTAGCCTCTGCTCACCACGGCTAGAGAAGGTTCACATGCCGCAGTGAGGACCTAGCACAGCCACAGATGGAGAAAATAAATACATGCCTTTTAAAAGCAAATGTTCTCGATGTTTTAACTGGAAGGAAAGACTTTTCGATAATTTAACTGATGCAGTTGTATATTTTTATAATATTGTGAAGTGTTACTATCCTTAATCACATTAATTTTGTAATTCTCATTGTCTGATTATACAACTTATTGAAAAGTATAAAAGAAGCCCATGTCCCCAGCACCTCAAAATAAACACTGATATATACTTCTAGCTTTTTTATAAGCTTTTTCTCTTTTCAAAACATTTTTCTTTTCTGTTTTAGAAAAAATTAAAGGACTTAATTTCAAATATTAGAAGTATTTTAAAAGTTATCTCAGAATATTATGTATACTGTTTTTTATTCACCACTGTGTATATTCCGTGAATTTCAGTTTAAGGTGTATACTGGGAATCTTTGACTCTTGAAAAGAGGATTCTTAAAATCTTATTGATGTCATGGTTTAGAACAGTGCTTCTCAAAAGTATGGTTTTGGGGAATGCTGGCAGTCTCGGACTTTTAGGAGGTCCTTGAGGTAAAAATTATTGTAATAATTCTAAGATTTTTTTTTGCCTTCTTCATTTTCATTCTCTCATGAATGTATTGTGGAATTTTCCAAAGCTTCATTATACATTACCATTATACATTATACATTCATTATACATTATACCATTATACAAAGGGTGTATAATGTTGTAACAGCCCAAGTAATGAAGTAGCTATGAGACTGAGGGGGAGGAAGGAAGAAGCCTTTCTTCTCTATATGAAAATAATGCTATTTTCCATAAAAATACTTGTGTGAACACATACTGAATATTGCTGTCTTTTAAATGATTTGACAAATATTTAAAATTTTCTCAGTTTTAATTTATTAAATAGTAATATTGATAATAGATAAAACCTTTTTGGAGTCCTCAATACTTTTTCAGCATGTTAAATATCCTGATATCAAAAAAACAAAGAATCTCTAGTTTAGAAAAAGATTAATGGGAAAAAAAATATCCTTATACTACAAGTATATTTTTAGAATATCATTTTTCTTCATTTTTTAGAGATCAAGGGACTTAAAGTTCTGTTCCTGCCCCAGATTCTTCTCTGGAACTAGGTTTGTCAAGTCTTCTGAAAATAGCAGTTCTCTGTTCTTTCCTTTTTAGATTTGATGGTAGAGTGGTGGCAAAGCTCCCTTTCACCCCCCTTTCCTACATCCAAGGACTGTCCCACCGGAATCTGCTTGGGGATGACACCACAGACTGCTCCTTCATCTTCCTGTATATTCTCTGTACCATGTCGATTCGACAGGTGAGTGCCCACATCATCTACTTAATGTGTACGTCCTTTCTTGCTCTCACACCCTAAATTAACCTCTTTCTCCAATACAGGAAGTGTCTACCTGTTGCTACTGAGATCTTTCAGTTGCTTGTTTCAGAATTCCAGAGTATCATCTGAAACTGTTTTAAATGTATATAGGTTCAGATTACTGATCCTAAGGGATGGAAAGTAGTCATAAAGTCACACATGGTTTTCAACTCATTTTGAAGAAAGCTCTCAAGTCTCTTCTTTATTGCGGCTATCTAAAGGTAGAAAAGCAGAGTGGATTTTGCCTTCCCACTATCATTTCTTCTTTATCATTCACCATTGCCTTTTGGCACTTCAGGAACACAAGTGAACGTAATAATTTGGTGACTTTAAGTTAGTCACAATTGAGGTAAAGTCTGAATCGTAGAATTTACATTCAGGCAACATGATGGCCAGACATTCATAGTGAAAAAGAGTGAGAACTAAATCAAGTAGGATTATGAGAGCCTGGAAGAGAGACTTAGCGTTCAGTTAGTGGCAGACGATTCAGGCAGCAAGGCTGAAGTAATAAAGTAGCTTTTGAGTGGGACTTTAAAAAATAAGAGAGGTTAAAGTCCCTTGCTCTAGAACTCTTCGTATTTCAGGGCATTATTCAGTGTTTGAACATACTGTTATTCAGCAGGCATTATAGTGAGGAAGTTGGCACATGCAGTAAATATGAACATGATTATTTCAGTGTTTGTTACATAAATGATTCAGAGTTGTTTTTCTTCTTCCTCTGAATATTGTCTGTGGCAGCAGGTTTTTTGATTGGTCTGACATGTCTGAATCAATATGAAATGGAATTATAATTAGAAATTCACAAAGATCTTCATGATCTTAGTGCTTAATGCTCTCTCTGCCTCATCTCTCACCTCATCCAGCACTGCAACCATTCTGACTTATCTGGCAGTTTTCATTTTCCACTCACCCAGACTTGTTTTTTGTGAATATTCTTTCTTCTGTCTCGATGCTTCCCACCTTCTTCTTTTGCATGTTAAATGCAACCTAGTTTTCAGGCTTCCTGGAATCATTTTCTGATACTTCCTGCTTCTGAAGGATAGATGTGAAGGGGACATGACCACATGCAGAAATAACAGAAAACGATTAGAGTAGTCTAGTAAAAAATCACTTTGTTCTAAATTATCACAGTGCTGAATGATTGAAGAGGGGACAAAGTTGAGAAATATATAGAGGTAAGCTGGCAGAACTTAATGATTGATTTAATGTGAGCAAGGAGAAACTAAGGTGGCTTCAACATTATGGTGTTGGTGACCAAATGGAGGATGCGAAAAGAGGAAAGAGAAGTAGGTTGGTTGGAAGACATGCTGTTTGAGTTGTCTGTGGGGCAGTTAAGTGGGTGTGTCCAGCAGGAAGTTGTATTCTTGTGATGTTGTTCAGTCCCTCTGTCATGTCTGACTCTTTGCGACCCCATGGGCTGCAGTGCAGCAGGCTCCTCTGTCCTTCACTGTCTCCCAGAATTTGCTCAAACTCATGTCCATTGAGTTGGTGATGCCATCCAACCCCCTCATCCTGTGTCGCTCCCTTCTCCTCCTGCCCACAGTCTTTCCCAGCATCTTGGGTAACTGAGGTGTGTACTACATCTTTTGAAATGCTTTAGCATTTTGGCTTATCCAAGGTAAAACCCAAGACTGTGACAGCATGATTCTCTTTGCTGGTTTAATAGAGGTCATCAATAACTAGAATATTGCTCTTAAATTTAAGAATGAGATATTAAAATTATAACTTGGGACAAAATATTAATGTGAAGTCAAGTGGGCCTTAGGAAACATCACTGCAAACAAAGCTAGTGGAGGTGATGGAATTCCAGTTGAGCTGTTTCAAATCCTGAAAGATGATGCTGTGAAAGTGCTGCACTCAATATGTCAGAAAATTGGGAAAATCAGCAGTGGCCACAGGACTGGAAAAGGTCAGTTTTCATTCCAATCCTAAAGAAAGGCAATGCCAAAGAATGCTCAAACTATCGCACAATTGCACTCATCTCACACACTAGTAAAGTAATGCTCAAAATTCTCCGAGCCAGGTTTCAGCAATACATGAACTGTGAACTTCCAGATGATTTTAGAAAAGGCAGAGGAACCAGAGGTCAAATTGCCAACATCTGCTGGATCATCGAAAAAGCAAGAGAGTTCCAGAAAAACATCTATTTCTGCTTTATTGACTATGCCAAAGCCTTTGACTCTGTGGATCACAATAAACTGTAGAAAATTCTGAAAGAGGTGGGAATACCAGACCACCTGACCTGCCTCTTAAGAAACCTGTATGCAGGTCAGGAAGCAACAGTTAGAACTGGACATGGAACAACAGACTGGTTCCAAATAGGAAAAGGAGTACGTCAAGGTTGTATATTGTCACCCTGCTTATTTAACTTATATGCAGAGTATCAATAACCTCAGATATGCAGATGACACCACCCTTATGGCAGAAAGTGAAGAGGAACTAAAGAGCCTCTTGATGAAAGTGAAAGAGGAGAGTGAAAAAGTTGGCTTAAAGCTCAACATTCAGAAAACTAAGCTCATGGCATCTGGTCCCATTACTTCATGGCAAATAGATAGGGAAACAGTGGAAACATTGACTGACTTTATTTTTCTGGGCTCCAAAATCACTGCAGATGGTGATTGTAGCCATGAAATTAAAAGACCCTTACTCCTTGGAAGGAAAGTTATGACCAACCTAGACAGCATATTAAAAAGCAGAGACATTACTTTGCCAACAAAGGTCCATCTAGTCAAGGAGATGGTTTTTCCAGTGGTCATGTATGGATGTGAGAGCTGGATGGTGAAGAAAGCTGAGTGCTGAAGAATTGATGCTTTTGAACTGTGGTATTGGAGAAGACTCTTGAGAGTCCCTTGGACTGCAAGGAGATCCAACCAGTCCATCCTAAAGGAGATCAGTCCTGGGTGTTCATTGGAAGGACTGATGTTGAAGCTGAAACGCCAATACTTTAGCCACCTCATGCGAAGAGCTGACTCATTTGAAAAGACCCTGATGCTGGGAGAGATTGAGGAAAGGAGGAGAAGGGGATGACAGAGCATGAGATGGTTGGAACGCATCTCCGACTCAATGGACATGGGTTTGGGTGGACTCTGGGAGTTTGTGATGGACAAGGGGGCCTGGTGTGCTGTGGTTCATGGGGTTGCAAAGAGTCGGACACGACTGAGCGACTGAACTGAACTGAACTGAAAATATTAATAAAATACAATGATGTATACATTCTGCTTTAAGCAACAAGAAACAATTCTATTTTAATTACATGCGTCGCAATTCTATTTTAATTACAAAGATGTTACTACTATGTTTGTGATTGCTCACAGTAGTTTTTTGGTGGTTTTTTATTGTTGTTTTAAATGATTTTATTTATTTATTTTTGGCTGTGCTGGGTTTTTGTTGCCGTGCAGGCTTTTCTCTAATTGCAGTGAGCAGGGGCTACTCTTCATTGCATTGTGAAGGCTTCTTGCTGCAGTGCCCTCTTTTTGCAAGCACAGGCCTGAGGGCACGCAGACTTCAGTAGTTGCGGCATGTGGTTTCAGTGGTTGCAGTTCCTGGGCTCTAGAGCACAGGCCCAATAGTTGTGGCACTCGGGCTGAGTTTTGCTCTGCCACCTATGGGATCTTCCCAGACCAGGGATCTAACCTGTGTCTCCTGCATTGGCAAGCGAATTCTTTTTTTTTTTTTTTTTTAAATTCTTTTTTTTTTTATTTTTTTTTTTAATTTATTTATTTATTTATTTATTTTTTTATTATTTTTTTTTTTTTTATCACAACCGTAGTGTATCTTTTTTTTTTTTTTTTTTTTACATGTATTCCCCATCCCCGTCCCCCCTCCCACCTCCCTCTCCACCCAATCCCTCTGGGTCTTCCCAGTGCACCAGGCCCGAGCACTTGTCTCATGCACCCAACATGGGCTGGTGAACTGTTTCACCCTAGATAATATACGTGTTTCAATGCTGTGCTCTTGAAACATCCCACCCTCGCCTTCTCCCAGAGTCCACAAGTCTGTTCTATACATAGGAGTCTCTTTTTCTGTTTTGCACATAGGGTTATCGTTATCATCTTTCTAAATTCCATATATATGTGTTAGTATACTGTAATGGTCTTTATCTTTCAGGCTTACTTCGCTCTGTATAATGGGCTCCAGTTTCATCCATCTCATTAGAACTGATTAGCAAAAATAAACAAATGGGACCTAATGAAACTTAAAAGCTTTTGCACAACAAAGGAAACTATAAACAAGGTGAAAAGACAGCCCTCAGATTGGGAGAAAATAATAGCAAACGAAGCAACAGACAAAGGATTAATCTCAAAAATATACAAGCAACTCCTCCAGCTCAACTCCAGAAAAATAAATGACCCAATCAAAAAATGGGCCAAAGAACTGAACAGACATTTCTCCAAGGAAGACATACAGATGGCTAACAAACACATGAAAAGATGCTCAACATCACTCATTATCAGAGAAATGCAAATCAAAACCACAATGAGGTACCATTACACACCAGTCAGGATGGCTGCTATCCAAAAGTCTACAAGCAATAAATGCTGGAGAGGGTGTGGAGAAAAGGGAACCCTCTTACACTGTTGGTGGGAATGCAAATTAGTACAGCCACTATGGAAAACAGTGTGGAGATTTCTTAAAAAGCTGGAAATAGAACTGCCATATGACCCAGCAATCCCACTTCTGGGCATACACACCGAGGAAACCAGATCTGAAAGAGACACGTGTACCCCAATGTTCATCGCAGCACTGTTTATAATAGCCAGGACATGGAAGCAACCTAGATGCCCATCAGCAGATGAATGGATGAGGAAGCTGTGGTACATATACACCATGGAATATTACTCGGCAGGCGAATTCTTTACCACTAAGCCTCCAAGGAAGGCCAGGTTTTTTTTTTTTTTTTTTTTTTGGCCGTCTCTCAAGGCTTCTGGGATCTCAGTTCCCTG